AGCAGCAGCAGTTACCTAAACAGCAGCACAAACAGCAGCAGCAGCAGCGGCAGATGCAGATTCCTCTGTCATTTCAGCAGCACTACTCGCAGCCGAAGCAGCAGCAGCAGCAACAGCCACCTCAACAGCAGCACAAGCAGCAGCAGCAACACAAGCAGCAGCAGCACGAGCAGCAGCAGCAGCCGCAGCAACCACAGGGAGGTTTATTTGCCTTTTTGCTGCTGCTATTTAAAATAATTCTTCATTCTTTCAGAAGCTCAACTGTTTCTTTTGCTTTTGCTGCAGCAGCAGCAAATGCAGCATTTGCTGCACTGCTGCTGCGCAGCATCTGGAAAAAGCCCTTCAACAAGGAAGCAGCAGCAGGCTCCTATCCCCAAACCAGCAGCAGCAGCAGCAGCAGCAGCAGCAGCAGCAGCAGCAGCAGCAGCAGCAGCAAAGTTGTACTTGCAGTTGAGAAGGGACCGCTGTGGAAGGTAAGAAGGCTCGCCAAGGCGATTACTAGGGCAATATCATTTTGCTGCAGACTCCGCAGCAGCAGCAGCAGCAGCAGCAGCAGCAGCAAGTTGAGTGAAGCGCAGCGGCAGCTGCTGCGGGAGAAGCGGTGGCTGCCCTGGATCCTAGAAGAACGGGAGAGGGCGGCAGCAGCAAAAGCAGCAGCAGCAGCAGCAGCGGCAGCAGCAGCAGATGCAGCAATAGCATCTGCTGCAAGAACAACAACAACAACAGCAGCAGCAGCAGCAGCAGCAGCAGCAGCAGCAACAGAAGCGAAGGCTGCTGAAGATATTTTCTTTTCCCCAGACTCTCTAGGCGTCAAGGAAGAAGCAGCAGCAGCAGCAGCAGATGCAGCAGCCAGCGCAGCAGCAGCAGCAGAAAGGGAGGCAGCAGCAGATGCAGCAGCAGCAGCAGCAGCAGCAGCAGCAGCAGGGGAGGAGTCCTCCATGCTGCTGTGGCCTCCAAGCGAGTTGCTGCCTCTCTGCCCCTTGATGTCTTGCTGCAGCACAGCACATTCACTGTCTCCTGAGTTAGCAGCAGCAGCAGCAGCAGCAGCAGAAGCAGAAGCAGAAGCAGCAGCAGCAGCAGAAGCAGCAGCGGCAGCGGAAGCAGAAGCAGAGACAGCAGCAGCAGCAGCAGAAGCAGCAGCACTTGAAGGCTTGCTGCAGTCATATCGACACAAACCCCCGCTTCTTCACTGGCTGTTATATTATGCAGCAGCTTTGCTGTGGACTCTGCAGGTGTATATTGTTGTCTTGCTGCAGGGGCCTCAGCTGCAGACTGAAGCAGCAGCAGCAGCAGCAGCAGCAGCAGCAGCAGCAGCAGCAGGGGTAGGACCAGGGGGCATCCCATTACCCAACAGCAGCAGCAACAGCATTAGCAGCAGCAACAGCAGCAGCTGCAGCAGCACAGTGTATCTGCTGCTGCTGCTTTCAGAGTGTTTACTTGCTTCGTGTCTAATCTGGGCCTTGCTGCTCGAGAGGAAGCTCTTTGCTGGCAGCAAACGGAAGCAGCAGCAGCGCAGCAGCAAACTGATGGGGGGCCTCCTGCTGCTGCTCTGCTGCTGCTCTGCTGCTGCAGTAGGGTGGCTAGTGATTGTCCCGCAAGGCCCAGCAGCAGCAACCCCTCCACCACCACCACCAGCAGCAGCAACAGCAGCAACAGCAGCAACAGCAGCACAAATACCCCAGGGAAGGCCCTGGGGCCCCGCTGAGGCTGACGCTGTCTCCTTTCTTTCAATGTTCAGAGAAGAGGAGACACCAATGCTGCTGCAGCAGCAAGAGCAGCAGCTGCAGCAACGAGAGAAGCAGCAGCAGCAGCAGAAGCAGCAGCAGCAACTCACCCACCAGCAGCAGAGACGGGCTCCCTTCTTCACGCCCAGGAGCAGCAGCAGCAGCTTCTTTGCACTGCATGCTAGCAGCAGCAGCAGCAACAGCAGCAGCAGCAGCAGCAGGAACGAAGCAGCAGCAGCAACCTCACAGGCTGAGCAGATGGAGAGGGCCGCCCCCAGAAGACTCAGCGCTGCTGCTGTCAGCACTCCTCAGGTTATTGGAGAGACTGCTGCTGCTGCTGCTGCTGACGGCAGCAGCAGCAGCAGCAACAGCAGCAACAGCAGCAGCAGCAGCAGCAAGGCAAGCAGCTTATGGCATCGCTTTGCTGCTGCAGCAGAAGCAGCAGCTGCATCGATTTTAAACTCTGGGGTGTCTGTGGGCCCGAATACTACAAAAGGGTTGCTGCTGTGCGGTTTGCTGCTGCTGCTGCTGCTGCTCCGCGTTGCTGCTGCAGTGGTGCTGCTGCGCATGCTAAGAGGCAGAGACAAACTGCAGCAAAAAAGAGACTCCTCACAACGCGTCTCACTCAAGTGGATTGTAAGCGCCTGAGGGTTTATGGTTTAGGGTTTAGGGTCTAGGGTTTAGGGTTTAGGGTTTATTTTTGGAGCATCACCATTCTCGTTGCGCTCGTTGCTTTCATCTCCTTGTCTGCATTTGGGTTAAGGGTTTAGGGTTTAGGGTTTAGGGTTTAGGGTTTGCGCTTGTTGGTTAGATATATGTCTTTTTTTGTTTTTGTTTTGCTGCAGGTGCTGTCAGTTTGTTTATCTTCTTTTCAAGGTGTTTCTCCTTTCTTGTGTTTATATAAATCCCCTAAAGAGGGTTTGCTGCTGCTGCTGCAGCTGCTGCAGCATTTTGATTTGCTGCTGCTGCTGCACATTGCTTCTAGTGTTGCACTGTACATACACCTCACAAAGGGTCGCCTCCTTTTAAAGAAGAAATCTCTCTTCTCGTCTCTTCATTCATTAGCAAACACATTTGACTTAGTAGCAGCATAAAAAGCTAAACAAACTACGCCATTTAAGGGTTTAGGGTTTAGGGTTTAGGGTTTAGGGTTTGAGGGCCCACAAACCCTTAGATTGAAATTTTTTTGTTTTTGCTGAATAAAACAGCAGAACGGAGTTTTATTATATTTTAATTATTTATATATTTATTATTATTATTTTATTTTATTTATTTTACTCTTTTTTATCTTTTGATAAGTGCAGCAAGGCATATACACTCTTGCTGCTGCAGTTGCTGCTGCTGTTGCTGCTTCTATTGCTGCTGCTGCTGCTGTTGCTGCTTCTATTGCTGCTGCTGCTGCTGTTGCTGCCTCTACTATGTTGCTGATCGTGCTGCTGCCGTTGCTCCCGCTACTACGTTGCTGAGAGTGTTGATGCTGTTGCTGCTGCTGCTGCTGCTGCTGCTGCTGCTGCTGGGACTAGGTTGCTGCTGCTGTTGCTGCTGCTGCTGCTTGCCGGTGCTGCAACGCCCCCACCCCTTAATTAGGCGCCTCACCAATTTTCTGGTGAAATTCACCCCTATCCTTTTTTGTCTCTCCCCTGAAAAGCAGCAGCAGCAGCAGCAGCAGCAGCAGCGGGAGCAGCAGCAGGAGAAACAGCAGGGGCAGCAGCAGCAGCAGGAGCAGGAGCAGAAGCAGCAGCAGGTGCAGGAGCAGCAACAGCAGGAGCAGGAGCAGCTGCAGCAGCAGCAGCTGCAGCTGGAACAACTGCAGCAGCAGCTGCAGCAGCAGATCTCTCTATTCTGCTGCTGCTGCTGTGGGGTTGTGAATTTAGCTGTTTGTGGTTATTTATCAGCACAGCGAGGTGCCTATACACTTCAACTGCATCTAATAAATAAGTAAATAAATAAAGTTGCGGTGTATATACAACTCTATTGTTTGCAAGAGCTGCATGTACACCGCACGAGGATACAATCTGTTTATTGAGATATCTCTGTAATTAAATTGCTTTTAAATAATATATTTTATTTAAGTATAATAAAACAAAATAAGGAAATCAAAAGCAGCAAGGCGAACGCACGGCCATTGGTGCTGCTGCTGCTGCTCCTGCCGCTACTGCTGCTGCTGCTGCTGCTGCTGTTCTGTGTGTGTGTGTGTGCGTGGTCTATGTTTTGCTGCATTTGTTTGAGAGTTCAGTGCTTAATAAATATTTAAATGCCTTTAACTTTGTTTTATTTATTAATAAACAAAGAAGAAAAACAAAAACAGCGGAAGCAGCAAAGCAATCGATGACGCACTTCGCTAGGGGCTCATCCGTGTGTATGCTGCAGCTGCTGCTGCTGCTGCAGCAGCAGCATTTTTTTTTAATGTTTTGTTTGCAATAAATCATTTTATTATTCATTTTTAATTACTAAATTAAATAAGGAAGGTAAAAAATATCATTATAAGTTTAAAAGGTAGATGCAACTGCAACAACAGCAACAACAGCAACAGCAGCAGCTGCAGCAGCAGCAGCAGCAGCAGCAGTTCAGTGTTGAGACCTGCTCCTCCGAAGGAAGCACAACTTCTCCTTTTTTTCTTCCTTTTCATTCTTCCTAAGATTTAATTTAACTCCTTTTCATTTAACTAACCTCCTATTGCTTTTTTTTTCTGCTGCTGCTGCCGCTGCTGCTGCTGCTGCTGCTGCTGCTGCTGCTGCAATGGCTAGTCGGGACGCTCCCCACATCCGCCGCCGCTTGTAGGGTTTTGCTGCTATTTTCTGCATTTGTTTCTAAAAGTATATTCTTTAAGATAAGCAAAGACAGAGAGAGGTCAAGGAAGCCCTTCAGGACCTGCGCCCGTCTAGGGTTTAGGGTTTAGGGTTTAGGGTTTGCACGGCTTCGCAGCTGGGCTTGAAGCACGGAGTAGAAATAGCATGCGAGTTGCTAACAATGAAGCAGGAAGATGGTGAATCAGACAGCAGCAGCAGCAGCAACAGTAGCAGCAGCATCGGGGCTGCTGCAGGAGACACGGGTGTTGCTGCTGCTAGCAGAGACGACAGCAGCAGCAGCAGCAGCAGCAACAGCAGCAGCAGGGAACAGGGAGAGGGTTTGCTTGAACCCTCAGCAGGAGAAGCTGCTGTAGGTGACTCCCCTCCCACAGCAGCAGAAGCAGAAGCAGAAGCAGCAGCAGCAGCAGCAGCAGCAACTAAGGACTCTAAATCCCGCAGAAAAAGCAGCTTAAGGGGGAGTCAAGGG